TAAATCATTACACTTTTCAAATTAATATTAGAGGAGACCTTTAAAGGTCAATTAGAAATGACACCAACATTGTTTGAATGTCAAAATATTTTGATGAAAATCAAAAATAGATAAGGAGGTGGTGGCGTTTACAGAGATAAAGAGATGGAGGAAAGGGATGGGATGTTATTTTCTTTTAGTTGCTGAAATATTAAGTGAAATGAAAATAAAACAAGAAGGGAAAATCATATGTTCGGGTCTGTTAAATTTTTGTTAAACTTTTTAGGAACCTAAATTACACAAAAAGGAATTATATATTTTGGAAAAAGTTGGGCGTCGAAAAAAAAAATTGGACATAATGTGCACCTTTTTGTTATCCAATTAGACCATGTATTCAGTTCACTGTAATTAAATGTCAATTAAATCTTTATTTGATATAATGGCCCATGGTCATTTATTTATAATTAAAATACATGTATATTAAAATAAAACTGTTTCTTGCGAAAATAAAAATAAATAAAACAAAGATATAAAATAATTATGCCTTCTTAAAGATAATCTTAAAAGGCACTTCATTAATAGCCAGATGTCTACTTCCATTTTTAGCAATCACAACACCAACATTTTGACAAATAGGCCTGCAAAGTTCACATACTTTCGGGCAGAACACAAGCTTGTATCCATCCTCATACTTTTCAATCTTAAAACAGTTATTGATGGTTTCCTGACTAGGGCTTCCTGCTACTCCATGACTAGTTGTGATAAGATGTCCATCGTACTCCACGAGCATCCAAACATTCGACTGAATGCAGGTCAATGCACCCAAGAACGTAATGTTTAGATCTGTTGATTCCCGAATGACACCTTTCTTAGGGTTTACCGGTGTAAATGTCAGTGGCATGCCATTATCTACTTCTTGATTAGCGTGAACAACGTCAAGTGGGCATGACTCATTTCTCGTGGAGGCAAGTGTAACACCGCCACCCATTCCTCGGATTACAGGCAAGATGTAGTACTTTGTACCAGAACGCACCAACTTCCCATCAAGGTCTCGAACTTGAGTTGGAGATGGTTGGCCCATTGAAAGGGAGATTGTGGAGAACATAAGTAGTAACAATGTTTTCCTCTTGGTTAGTTGTTTTTAGATAGCCTTGTTGATAAATTTCAGGAGTGGTTTAAATTTGATAGAGATAACACTATTTATAATGGGGAACAAATCGGTATGCATTTTGGGAATGGTTGTAGGCTACATGTAACTGCTTAGACAAGTTAGACATTCCAGTCTCATTAAAGCTAGGTGTTAATGTTCCAAATATATTAAATACTATTTAACAAGGTAACATAAAGCCAATTGGGTTGTATAAATGCACTATGGTCAAAACATTCTTAACGTATATCATTTTATTGGCTAGGTAAAAAAAATTAAACCATCAAAACCGATAAAAAAAAATTTAAGAATATTTTTATTTTTGGCGATTAGTTCTCGTTAGGAGACTGGCGAACAGAATCCTCTCGTGGGATTCTGTTGTAATTGTCCCGTATGACTATTAATTTCTATTAATTACTAACATGTTAAAGAAATTATAGATTTTCACGTATTTCCTATATTTCTTAGTTAATATCATTATTTTCCATTAATATATATATATATATATATATAATATATATATATATATATATATATATATATATATTGAAAAATAATATTAAGATACTTATGTATAAGACGCATCATAATATAAAATAAATACATGTTATACGAAATATAAAATAAAATAATAACACATGGTTTATGCAAAATATAAAATGGAAATCACAAATTTAAGAATTAACATTCATTAGAGACTAATATTTTCAGTTACTTGGGATTTTAATAAAATATTTTGTACATCATTTAACTTCAAAGTTATCTATTTGTTATTTTAGTCGAAACCAACTTAAAACATTTTTTAAGTTCAAAAATACATTTAACATTATAAGTTCATTCTTCAAAATTTCATGTATTCTTATTAAATTATTCAAGTGTACCTTGACTTGGGTTTTAAACACTACATGTTTGAATTAAATCTATTTTTTCTTTAGTTAAATATGTTATAAACACTATTAAATGAACAATAAATATTATTAGAATCTATTTAAAAATCAAAATATCATAGTTGATATATTAACAGAAACCGTAATTTGCAATATAAAAATCATAGTTTTAAATTAATATTTCCTAACGTGATTACATAAATATTGGCATACACCAAAGTTTGTTACACTCCTAAATCATTACACTTTTCAAATTAATATTAGAGGAGACCTTTAAAGGTCAATAAGAAACGATACCAACATTGTTTGAATGTCAAAACATTTTGATGAAAATCAAAAATGTATGGGGAGGTGGTGGCGTTCAGAGAGATAAAGATATGGAGGAAAAGGATGGGATGTTATTTTCTTTTTCAATTTTCTTTTAGGTGCTGAAATATTAAGTGAAATGAAAATAAAACAATAAGGGAGAATCAGGTGTTAGTATCTGTAAATTTTTTGTTAAATTTTTTAGGAACCTAAATAACACAAAAAGAAATTATATATTTTTGAAAAAGTTGGGCGTCGAAAAAAATTTGGATAGAATGTGCTCCTTTTTGTGATCCAATTAGACGATGTTTTCAGTTCACTATAACTAAATGTCAATTAAATCTTTATTTGATATAATGGCCCATGGTCATTTATTTATAATTAAAATACATGTATATTAAAATATAACTGTTTCTTGCGAAAATAAAAATAAATAAAACAAAGATATAAAATAATTATGCCTTCTTAAACATAATTTTAAAAGGCACTTCATTAACAGCCAGACGTCTACTTCCGTTTTTAGCAATCACAACACCAATATTTCCACAAATAGGCCTGCAAAGTTCACATACTTTCGGACAGAACACAAGCTTGTAACCATCCTCGTACTTTTCAATCTTAAACCAGTTATTGATGGTTTCCTGACTAGGGCTTCCTGCTACTCCATGACCAGTTGTGATAAGATGTCCATCATACTCCTCGAGCATCCAAACATTCGACTGAATGCAGGTCGATACACCCGAGAACATAATGTTTAGATCCGTTGATTCCCGAATGACACCTTTCTTAAAGTTTACCGGTGTAAATGTTAGTGGCATGCCATTATCTACTTCTTGATTGGCTTGAACAACGTCAAGTGGGCATGACTCATTTCTCGTGGAGGCAAGTGTAACACCGCCACCCATTCCTCGGATTACAGGCAAGATGTAGTATTTTGTACCAGAACGCACCAACTTCCCATCAAAGTCTCGAACTTGAGTTGGAGATGGTTGGCCCATTGAAAAGGAGATTGTGGAGAACATAAGTAGTAACAATGTTTTCATCTTGGTTAGTTGTTTTTATATAGCCTTGTTGATAAGTTTGAGCAGTGGATTAAGTTTGATGGAGATAACACTATTTATAATGGGGAACAAATCGGTATGCATTTGGGAATGGTTGTAGGCTACACGTAACTGCTTAGACAAGTTACACAATCCAATTTCATTAAATCTAGGTGTTAATGTTCCAAATATGTTAAATACAATTTAACAAGGTAACATAAATCCAATTGGGTTGTATAAATGCACTATGGTCAAAACATTTTTAACGTATATCATTTTATTGGTTAGGTAAAAAAAATTAAACCATCAAAAACCGATAAAAAAATTTAAGAATATATTTATTTTTGGCTATTAGTTCTCGGCTATTAGTTCTCGTTAGGGGCTGGCGAATAGAATCCTCTCGTTGGATTCTTTGGTAATTGTCCCGTATGACTATTAATTTCTATTAATTACTAAAATGTTAAAGAAATTATAGATTTTCACGAATTTCCATTATTTCTTAGTTAATATCATTATTTTCCATTAATGTTTATATATATATATATATATATATATATATATATATATATATATAATAAATACATGTTATTCCGAATATAAAATAAAATAATAACACGTGGTTTATGCCAAATATAAAATGGAAATCACAAATTTAAGAATTAACATTCATTAGAGACTAATATTTCCAATTACTTAGGATTTGAATAAAATATTTTGTACATCAATTAACTTCAAAGTTATCTATTTGTTATTTTAGTCGAAACCAACTTAAAACATTTTTTAAGTTGAAAAATACATCTAACATTATAAGTTCATTCTTCAAAATTTCATGTTTTCTTATTAAATTATTCAACTGTACCTTGACTTGGGTTTTAACCACTACATGTTTGAATTAATTCTATTTTTTCTTTAGTTAAATATGTTATAAACATTATTATATTAACAATAAATATTAAGAGAATCTATTTAAAAATTAGAATATCATAGTTGATATATTAATAGAAACCGTAATTTGCAATATAAAAATCGTATTTTTAAATTAATATTTCCTTACGTGATTACATAAATATTGGCATACACCAAAGTTTGTTACACTCCAAAATCATTACACTTTTCAAATTAATATTAGAGTACTCCTAAATCATTACACTTTTCAAATTAATATTAGAGGAGACCTTTAAAGGTCAATAAGAAATGATACCAACATTGTTTGAATGTCAAAACATTTTGATGAAAATCAAAAATAGGTGAGGAAGTGGTGGCGTTTACAGAGATAAAGAGATGGAGGAAAGGGATGGGATGTTATTTTTATTTAGGTGCTGAAATATTAAGTGAAATGAAAATAAAACAAGAAGGGAAAATCATGTGTTCGGGTCTGTTAAATTTTTGTGGAACCTAAATTACACAAAAAGAAATTATATATTTTGGAAAAAGTTGGGTGTTGAAAAAAAACTGGACAGAATGTGCACATTTTTGTTATCCAATTAGACCATGTATTCAGTTCACTGTAACTAAATGTCAATTAAATCTTTATTTGATATAATGGCCTGTGGTCATTTATTTATAATTAAAATACATGTATACTAAAATAAAACTGTTTCTTGCGAAAATAAAAATAAATAAAACAAAGATATAAAATAATTATGCCTTCTTAAACATAATCTTAAAAGGCACTTCATTAATAGCCAGACGTCTACTTCCATTTTTAGCAATCACAACACCAATATTTCCACAAATAGGCCTGCAAAGTTCACATACTTTCGGGCAGAACACAAGCTTGTAACCATCCTCATAATTTTCAATCTTAAACCAGTTAATGATGGTTTCCTGACTAGGGTTTCCTGCTACTCCATGACCAGTTGTGATAAGATGTCCATCATACTCCTCGAGCATCCAAACATTTGATTGAATGCAGGTCGATGCACCCGAGAACATAATGTTTAGATCTGTTGATTACCGAATGACACCTTTCTTAGGGTTTACCGGTCTAAATGTCAGTGGCATGCCATTATCTACTTCTTGATTGGCTTGGACAACGTCAAGTGGGCATGACTCATTTCTCGTGGAGGCAATTGTAACACCGCCACCCATTCCTCGGATTACAGGAAAGATGTAGTACTTTGTACCAGAACGCACCAACTTCCCATCAAGGTCTCGAACTTGAGTTGGAGATGCTTGGCCCATTGAAAGGGAGATTGTGGAGAACATAAGTAGTAACAATGTTTTCATCTTGGTTAGTTGTTTTTATATAGCCTTGTTGATAAATTTGAGGAGTGGTTTAAGTTTGATGGAGTTAACACTATTTATAATGGGGAACAAATCGGTATGCATTTGGGAATGGTTGTAGGCTACACCTAACTGCTTAGACAAGTTAGACAACCCAATCTCATTAAATCTAGGTGTTAATGCTCCAAATATAATAAATACAATTTAACAAGGTAACATAAAGCCAATTGGGTTGTATAAATGCACTATGGTCAAAACGTTTTTAACGTATATCATTTTATTGGTTAGGTAAAAGAAAATTAAACCATCAAAACCGATTAAAAAAAATTTAAGAATATTTATATTTTGCGCTATTAGTTCTCGTTAGGCGATTGGCGAATAGAATCCTATCGTGGGATTCTGTTGTAATTGTCCCGTATGACTATTAATTTCTATTAATTACTAAAATGTTAAAGAAATTATAGATTTTCACGAATTTCCTTTATTTCTTAGTTAATACCATTATTTTCCATTTTTGGCTATTAGTTCTTTTTAGGTGGCCAACGATTAGTTTCCTCTAATGTGATTGTATGATATTTTTAACGTATATCATTTTCTTGGTTAGGTAAAAAAAATTAAACCATCAAAACCGATATAAAAATTTTTAAGAATATTTTTATTTTTGGCGATTAGTTCTCGTTGTTGGACTGGCGATTAGAATCTACTCGTGAGGTTCTGTTGTAATTATCTCGTATGTCTATTAATTTCTATTAATTACTAACACATTATACAAATTATAGATTTTCACAAGGTTGCTATATTTCTTAGTTAATATCATTTATTTTCCATTAATGTTTCTTATATATATATATATTATATATATATATATATATATATATATATATATATATATATATATATATATATATATTGAAAAATAATATTAAGTCACTTATGTATAAGATGCATCATAATATAAAAATAAATAAATGTTATACCAAATATAAAATAAAATAATAATACATGGTTTATGCCAAAGATAAAATGGAAATCATAAATTTAAGAATTAATATTCATTAGAGACTAATATTTTCAATTACTTGGGATTTTAATAAAATATTTTGTACATCATTTAACTTGAAAGTTATCTATTTGTTATTTTAGTCCAAACCAACTTAAAACATTTTTTAAGTTGAAAAATACATCTAAAATTATAAGTTCATTCTTCAAAATTTCATGTTTTCTTATTTAATTAGTCAAGATCACATTGACTTGCGTTTTAACCACTACATGTTTGAATTAAATCTATTTTTTTTGTAGTTAAATATGTTATAAACATTATTAAATTAACGATAAATATTAAAAGAAGCTATTTAAAAATGAGAATTTCATAGTTGATATATTAACAGAAACCGTAATTTGCAATATAAAAATCATAGTTTTAAATTAATATTTCCTAATGTGATTACATAAATCTTGGCATACACCAAAATTTGTTACACTCCTAAATCATTACACTTTTCAAATTAATAATAGAGGAGACCTTTAAAGGTCAATAAGAAACGATACCAACATTGTTTGAATGTCAAAACATATTGATGAAAATCAAGAATTGATGAGGAGGTGGTGGTGTTCAGAGAGATAAAGAGATGGAGGAATGGGATGTGATGTTATTTTCTTTTTCTATTTTCTTTTAGGTGCTGAAATATTAAGTTAAATGAAAAAAAAAACAAGAAGGGAAAATCAGGTGTTAGGGTCTCTTAAATTTTTGTTAAAATTTTCAGAAACCTAAATTACACAAAAAAAATTATATATTTTGGTAAAAATTGGGCGTCAAAAAAAAATTGGACAGAAAGTGCACAATTTGATCCAATTAGACCATGTTTTCAGTTCACTGTAAATAAATGACAATTAAATTTTTATTTGATATATTGGCCCATGGTCATTTATTTATAATTAAAATAGATGTATATTAAAATAAAACTGCTTCTTGTTAAAATAAAAATAAATATAACAAAGATATAAAATAATTATGCCTTCTTAAACATAATCTTCAAAGGCACTTCATTAATAGCCAGACGTTTACTAGCTTTTTTAGCAATCACAACACCAATATTTCCACAAATAAGTCTGCAAAGGTTACATAATTTCGGGCAGAACACAAGCTTGTAAGCATCCTCATACTTTTTTTTATCTTAAACCAGTTATTGATGGTTTTCTGACTAGGGTTTCCTGCTACTCCATGAACAGTTGTAATAAGTTGTCCATCGTACTACTCCAGCATCCAAACATTTGATTGAATGCAGGTTGATGCACCCGAGAATACAATGTTTAGATCTGTTGATTCCCGAATGACACCTTTCTTAGGGTTTACCGGTGTAAATGTTAGTGGCATGCCATTATCTACTTCTTGATTGGCTTGAACAACGTCAAGTGGGCATGACTCATTTCTCGTGGAGGCAAGTGTAACACCGCCACCCATTCCTCGGATCACAGGCAAGATGTAGTACTTTGTACCAGAACACACCAAGTTCCCATCAAGGTCTCAAACTTGAGTTGGAGACGGTTGGCCCATTGAAAGGGAGATTGTGGAGAACATAAGTAGTAACAATGATTTCATCTTGGTTAGTTGTTTTTATAAAGCCTTATTGATAAATTTTAGGCGTGGTTTAAGTTTGATGGAGATAACACTATTTATAATGGGGAACAAATCGGTATGTGTGATAACTCAAAATTTTCATTCGGTCAAACCGTAAAATTCAATCACTTCATATTATAAGTCAATATCAGTTCTATTTGTTTTTAACAAATTTAAAGATTCGTTTGACTATTATAATAATTATTCTTTAAATGAACAGGTGAAAGAATGCGCCGTCTTGGGTCTTAAAATTTCTAAACCGCGATTACCATGTAGCTTAGAAGTTCACAGCCAAACTTTTATGTTTGGGCCGTAAACTCCCCTAAAAACTGTAAACTAATGCCTTAAGCATCAGTTTACTCCCCAATGTGTCTCATTCTTTCTTGCAACCTAAAGAGTAAACTCCAAACTCTCTCAAGTATCATCCCGGTTTTCGCCTGACTTCCTGAAAACGTAAGTGTTTCTCGACTTGATTATTTGATATAACATAACATCTAGTGATTATACATCCTTTAATCCATCCATTTATGTGTTTTGACTAGTTTTCCAAAACACCAAGAACACACTAGTGTTCTTGGACTTTTAGTTCATTTCAAGCTTCCACAAAGTAAGTATTTCTATCCTAGAGTCATTTAAAGCTTGCTATACATATTAATATCAAAGAAAAGTCCCAAGAACACCATGGTTTTGGGAGGCTCCCAAAACCAACAACACTAAGAATAGGGCCAAAGTGGTGCCTTAGGGTGCCTAGATGTTTCACAATGCCTTAGGGACTTGTCTAGATCCATCCTTGAGGAGTTTATCACACAAAAAGCCCAAAAACTTTACATTTATATGTGTTTACGGTTTGGGGATCTCCAAAAACCATAAACACCCCAAAAGGTTTTTAAATGTCCCATATTTACTCCTAATGCATAGAATCTAACCTAGACTATTACCATGATGAGCTAAGGACTTGAAATCACCAAAATACCTAAGTCCATGATAGTTTAAGGTATTAAACTCATGGAGAAATGGTCCATAGACCGCAAACTCCATTTAGGAATGTTTTGATGCGACACAACACTTCCTAAGGCATAAACATGAAGTAGGAATACCTGGATTGGCTTAGAAAACTTCAAACATCAAATGGTCACAAAGGGGGTGAGCTTACGACCGTAAACCCAAGGGTTTACGACCGTAAATCCTTTTGCTAGTGAACATAAAACCGTAAACTCCTTAGAGGAGTGTTCCTTGAACCCCAAGCACACTAGCCTTTCCTACAACACTTGGTTGCAACCCTTGTAATCTTTAACACTTGAAACAAAGTGTTACCATGTTATAGAGTGTGTTAACTTATATTATTAGAGATAAAGTGCCTACTTAGTTATATATATATATATATATATATATATATATATATATATATTGATTATATGAAAACTAGGCTCGTTGTGTGTGTACAAAGTCTCCACTTGTCACCTAGCATCGTATCCGACACTTCAATCCAATTCACTCACTACAGGTGAGTTCGTACCCCTAAATTAACCTTTTAATGTTTTCAAATGTTTATAAATACTTTATGGGGGGAATACAAGTGAAGTTACGATAGTTATTATCTCAATCACATGTGATTAATAACTATCGACAAGTGAATCTCTTACTTTCAAACTGTTTTACCAAACAGTTTTACTTCAAATTGTCTTAAAAACTCTTTTACATATCAAATGCTTTTATGAAACTTCTTTTATACTTTTATATTATCAGTTTCATGTATATGTATGTATAGTTATATAAGCAATGTTAAAAAGGCTTAGAAAGGTCTCCCCACCCTATTTCCTTTTCGCCATTGAGATGTGGTTTGGTGGGATATCGGGTACCCGTCTGAAGGTCATTTAAATATTAGTTATATATCATGTGTACATATATAATCATAAAGGTTCTTCCAGTTCATTCAGTACCCTTAGGTAGCAAGGGTATACTCCGATGTTCATACGTACAAGTTATATTACTAGTAAACTACCATAGGGGTAGTTTAGGGTCTTACTAATACTAATACTACAACAATGAATCATACAAAGAGTAGGTTCATACATGAGTCATAAATTATAGTGATGAGAAACAAACATAGAAGATAGTGATGAGAAACAAACTTAATACACAGTAATGAGAAATAAACATAATACATAGTTATGAGAAACAAACATAATACATAGTGATGAGAAACAAACATAATACATAGTGATGAGAAACAAACATAATACATAGTGATGAGAAACAAACATACAGGATAGACAAAGAAAGAACACACAATACAGCTAGCACATACATTACATATACATTACATTCCGTTATTTGAGCCATTAAACGGGTCACGACACTACCT